ACATTTCTATAATGTAGCTTGGTAATGATCTATCACTCCAGCTGATGAGAGGAAGCAGTTAAAGAAAAATAAAAATAAAGATAAGTTTGCTGGCTAAGGTCCTGAAGGTGTACTTGAATGAGAGTGATCAAGCAGTAGGGAACAAGGGCTCCTTTCCTCATTGCCAGAGATCTGAAAAGAGTTTTAAAACCCTCACCAGCCCAACCTCTGCTAAGCAAGGTGCTAAGGAGGTAGAAGCCATGCCCTCTCAAAAATAGCTCAAACCCTCCCTTTTTCCTGTGAGAGGAAAGCCAGAGGAGGCTGATACCATTTGGAGCAGAGATGAATGACAGAATAATTTGTGTTCAAAAAGACCTCTAACATCACCAAGGCCAACCACTGAGTTGTCGCTGCTAGGCCCACCACTAAACCCCGTCCCTCAGGGGTTTTGGAGTGTCAGTCCCCACAGCTGGCCCTCCCTGCCATTCTCTGTACTGACTACAGCCTTTCTTTCTAACTTTAGAGGGATTTTGGACAAAGAAAACCCCCAGCAGAGGGCAAGGCCCTGCCCAGGGCTGGTGCTGCAGTGACCACACAGAACCCCCAGGTGGGAGCTGGGCCTGCAGCAGCTGCCCTGAAATTATTAAGGAAACAAAAAAAAAAAAAAAGGCCACAGGTAATTTTAGTAGTGAGGGAGTATTTCTAGTGTCCCTCTGGGCTGCGTGCTGAGAGGATCTGTGCCTACCACTATTATCACTAGCAGAAGATATTTAGCTCAGTAGGAGCAGCTGGTTTCCTTTAGCCTGAGAGGCCCTCAGCTCTGGAGCAAGTCAACTTCCCATGCCACTTCTTAGGAAATTAAGGGTCCAAGCATCCTTTATGGATAAGTTTCCACCCTGAAACATAGTAGAGGTTTATTCTGTACCCATTCCTTCACAATTAGTGAATCTTACTGCTGAACAAACAAGGAGTTTGGATTTTCAACCATAATCAAGGTCAGGTCTGCATCGACACAGGTGGCAAAGTCCATCATGCTGGGGGGAAAGGAAGGTGAAGCTGTTCATGCCTGTCATCTTAGTTCTCATTCTCCTCCCTTTCAGACCCTAAATATATCAAATGGCTTTGAGGCAACTAGAAAAAGAGAAGGGAGAACACAAAAAACAATTTAATAATGTCCATTGAAGCAAAGAATTTTGCTTGCCCCCTGTTTTAGATGAAATATCACATGCCCCAGCAGGTGATCTATATTTCATTGCATCTTTAAAGATGCTCAGGTCTGGAGAGAATTACCTGCCATCAGAATCTGGAAGAATAGACACTGCTAAGAACTTCATCAGATATTTTTTTTAAAAATTAAAAAAGAAAAGAAAAGAGAAAGACACATAGACACAGCCTGAGAATTTGAAACAAGATTGCAACCATGCAAATGACCTTGCTAAAGCCAATTAACATCTTCTGTTGTAGATCCTCTTGAGATACATGGGTATAAAATAATGTACAACCAATAACTATTATTATTACCCATTTTGGGGGGTTTCTTTTTCTGTAGATAGTATCAAAGAGTAGCAGCAGATGTAGGTAAAAAGTGTAAGGGGTCAGTCTGTAGTCTGAAACATCAAAACATGTTATGAAAAAAACAGCAGCATATACCAGAAAGGATGCATTAATTATCAGCAGAAAACACTTTTTTTTCCATTAAGAACTGTGTGGAATCTTATTCAAAACCTGTCTGGCTCTTCAGGCATTACTTACATAAGTCATTGTGGCACATTTTGTTTCACAGACCTTAGGCTTAGTTCAGGAGTTTAGCCCTTCATGCCTTGTTCTTTCACTCAGTTGGTCCTGGAGGACAACAGAGAACTTGGGGCAGTGAATAACTCCTCTGAAGCTCCCATGAGACTCCAAGAACAGGTAGGTCCCTGTCTTGGACTCTGGGAGGTGCTGAAAATCTTGTTAGCATCACTGAGTCTCTATTTTCCTACACATCAGTTGTCATTCATATAATGGGGTGAACAGAAAACTGTTGTCCCCCATATTTCTTCTGCTTTCCTCTCTAAGATTGTAACCACTGCAGAGAAGCTGTAATTGCCCCAACCCTGGACCTGTTCAAGGACAAGTTGGACAGGGTCTGTAGCAATCTGGACTAGTGGAGGATGTCCCTGGCCATGGCAAGGGGCTTGGAAAGAGATGATTTTTAAGGTCCCTTCCAATCCAAGCTGTTCTATGATTCTGTTATTCTCCAAGAGCTGCATCAGAGAAAAGCCCCATTTTCCCAAGTGCTGTGGTGCCATGTTCATGTTTAACTGCAGCAAAGACAAAACCCTTGCTTAGATAGGAAACAGTTTGCCTCCAGAAAGAAGGGAACAGACATTATGATTCTGTTATTCTCCAAGAGCTGTATCAGAGAAAAACCCCATTTCCCCAAGTGCTGTGGTGCGACATTCATGTTTAACTGCAGCAAAGACAAAACCCTTGCTTAGATAGGAAACAGTTTGCCTCCAGAAAGAAGGGAACAGACAAAATGTCCTCACAGCAATCCAGCGCCTGTGATTTCCTCGATTCCATCTGAAAGCTTACTCTCTATTTTGCTGACATATGAGCTGGGTGCCCTATTGTACATCAGTGTAAAAAATAGCTGTTATCTGCTGTTTCACAGGAGATACAGCAGAACATGACTTATTTGTGCCTGCTCTGCTGCCTCCTTTGAAATGTTGCCGTCGCTCGCTGCACCCTTCGCAGGGGAAGGCAGATGGTCATCACAAAGTTTCCCATAACCTTGCCGTGCCTGCTGCATAGTGAATCAATGAAACCTGAATTACAGTGCTCTGCCTGGGCTGGGAGCTGTGCTGCTACAGAATCCTGCAGCGCCTGCAAGCCTCTGAATGTCAGCCTTGCCCAGACACTGGAGGAAATGGGAAATTTCTCTCCAAAATTTCAAAGCGGTGCCAAGTGGGGATTTTTAGCTGCAAAGTTGCATCCAGTGTGAGCCAGGACTGCATTGCTCAAGCCTTAATTGCCAGCTTAGAAATGCACTTTTTGTGGGTGTTTGAGTGTTAGGTGTGACCTTTCCTTAGAGAGAGTAGGAATAAAATATCCAAACAGGATTCAAGCATGAAATGCTGGGGGTGAATATTTTTTGGAGTCTGAACAGCAGCAGCTGCCCCTCTGTTCTAACTGTCTCTGCTTATGTGACATTTGCAATGAGGCTCCAGGTGATTTGGGAAGCTGGCACTACACTGCAGTTCACCTTTTGTGTCAGCTCATGCCAGGATACCCTTGCCAGAAGCCGCTATTTTGGTGGGAAAAAACAACTGGGAATAAGGGAAAAAATGAACTTCTGAAAAGCACTTTGTCACGTTCCCTGGGCTGTGACAGGCAAAGCTGGGAACAGCGTGAGCTCCTGCCATGAAAGTAGGCATAGGGAGAAATTTCTCAGTGGGAGGATTACCTCCTTTACATACCTGATTGAAGGCAAGGTGAGTACATAAAACATTTTAAACAGATTCCCAATTTCTGACATTTATTTGCTCTATGAGTCAACATGCTGGAAGACATCTAAATTTTATAAAGCCTCATTTTGCTGATTTTTCCTTAGGATGGGGATCATTGCTTTGAGCAGGTCTGGCACTTTCAGATAATGACCTGCATGCAGCACAGGTGCTTCTACAAATGGGTAATGCTGGATGCAGTACATGTTAAAGTGAATCCTCCAAATGGTTTTGGCCTTTTGCAGATGACTGCTTCCATGTGTGCATGTGAAGGGCAGAGCCTCTCCCAAATTCAAGCTTTCAGCCCATTCCAGCAGTGTGCCTAGGCAAAGGATTTTGTCTCATATGAGATAGCACTGCTGCAAGGTAGTTTAGACATCAATGCCTTGATAATTTTATGTTTTCATTAAATACAAGAGGAATAAATCTGAAAACTTATAATTTATGTTGAGGAGAAAGCAAAACATTATTTGGTGTGCAAAAGACAATCCCTGGATTTATAATTTTTGATCAAAGAGATTACTTGTGCTGGGACAATTTTATCATTGAGTCTGATTCCTCAGTTTGCAACTGGATTCCATCTTCTAAACCAGCACAGGCTTCCCCTGACTTAGAAGGGGCACATACAAATATCCTGCAACCAGTGGCTACAGAGAGAGGACCTTTCTTACAGGACCTTTCTTATTAAATCCTTCCAACAATAAAAGAAAAAACAAAACAAAACAAATAATTGAGCCAGATAACTTTACAGAAAACAAAGGCCTGGTCTTTATAACAGACAAAGGCTGAGTGGACTTGTGTCCTTTACTGATTGTCACAGAGTTTGATATGTCCTAGCATTTACTGAAATAAGTGAGACCAGAGTAAGGTTTATACTCTTGAAATGTATTAAAAAACCAATTCCTGGTTAAATTTAAGTTCAAGATAGATTTTTTTTTTCTGTGCCAATGATATAAATCCATGAAATCTCAAATTAACCATTCAAAACATCTGACTTTAATTATCTTTTTCTAGAGACAGAATAGCTATTAAACTTTGTGAATCTGTCTGTATCCTGAGGAATCAGTATTAATTTTCCGTACATTTCCAACTTCTAAAAATCATTTCCAATGTGTCAAGAAATCACAAATCATCCAGAAATTATTCTTCATCTCAAACTTTTTGTAGTAATTGGAGATTTGTCATTGTCCATCAGTTAAATGAGGAAGGTCATCCTCTCCCATTGGGTGAGGAGCTTGCGTGCAATATTTTGGTCCTCGGTATCTGGGAATCCCTGAGACTGCAATGAATATCTGAGCACTCACTGAACTGCAGCACAGAAATGCAAATGAGCCTATAATGAGTAAGACAGAGTTGTGGCAGGGAGCAGGGACAGATCCCAAAGCCCAGGGGGGTGAATGGCAAGGCTCCTGTTGAGTGCAGTGATGTCTGAGCAGAGCTCTTGGCATGTCTGTGAGAGGAGACAGAGTTTATCTCTGCATCACATCACAAGCACAATAACCACACGCTCATCTTTTCTGCTTTCTCTCCCAGGATGGAAGGAGCAGTTTCATTGGCCACCAGCTTGGAGGGGTAATGGAAGTGCCAAACAGCAAGGACCAGAGAGTCAAATCAGCCAGAGCCATCCAAATCACTTACTACCTCCAAACGTATGGCTCTGTCACCCAGGACCTCATTGGGGAGAAGTGGGAGAGCGAATTCTGTAAACTGATGCACAAGATGCAGCTGGATCACCAGGATCTGCAGCTCTACTCATTAGCATCCTTTAGCCTCTGGAAGGACTTCCACCAGACCAGTCTCTTGGCCAGGGGCAAGATTTTGGTGAGCCTGATGCTGATTCTCCTGACTGCTACCGTCTCAAGCTCCATGAAGGACTGCCTGCGTAGCAAACCTTTCCTGGGACTCCTGGGAGTGCTCACTATCTGTATTTCCAGTGTCACTGCGGCAGGGATATTTTTCATTACTGATGGAAAATATAATTCTACTCTGTTGGGAATCCCTTTCTTCGCTATGGGTAATTATTTATCTTCATAATAATAGGATTAACATAGTTTAATGACAGAATTGTAAATTACATCCTGGGTTATAAAGTGCAGATTTTACTTTGAGTGAAAGTCTAAGTCATTTTCATCTTTCTAAATTGATCTGTGCCTTGCCAAAAAAAAAAAAAAAAAAAAAAATTGAAACAAAACAAAGCAGTAGCAACAATAAAAAGCAAATTACATTCTTGGAATCTCAGCCAGCATGAGAGAGGGGCAGTTCTATTGATCTCTGTTACAGAATGAAGGAGAAATTGTTATTGAAAACTAGTCAGCTCAGCAGACAAAATGGATATATGTTGACCCAACTTTGATGGGAGGCCAGGCAAATGAGTAAGTTAAACAGGAGGGTACCAAGGAAGGGCAGATTTTAACATCCTTCCCAAGAAGGTCTTTTATTCGAGCTCTGCCTGAAGGGCAGAGTGGGTGAGGTTAGTGTAAGAATAAGATTGATGGACTTTATCTCAGAGAGGAGATTACAGTTGTGGTGCTTGCCAGGCTGTGAGCACAGGGGCCTGTCAGGATCCATGGCGCATAATCCCTTGGTTTGTGAAATCCCAGATCAGCTGCACAGATTTCCTCTGCATGGCACCCAGACAGGGGAAGGTGTGAAAGAAGAACAAATGTAATACCCAGCTCTTTAGGCAGAAGAATTCCTTTCAATCAGCTGCTTTCTGATACTGTTTGGTTCCAAGCACTTCCAGTGCATCCATATGGTTGATGAGTTTGCTGAGAAGTTGCATTGGAAAGGCAGAGGGAAAGGTGCCCAGCTCAGCCATGAGGGCAGCATTTTTTGGTGCCCTCACATCCAAGTTTGTCAAAGTTTTGCCATGCCATGAGTCTGAACCCCAATGACAACTCTATGCAAAATCTCAGTGGTGGCAGCCCAGAACTAAACGTTTTCATTCTCGATTTCAGACAGCAGAGAATCTTCCCTGTGGCCAGAGCTCTGCATTTTAACAGCTAATTTCTTAAGTGCCATTCATGATTCTAGTCCTCAAACCAAGTACTGTGTTATGGTAAGAATCAACTAAATATGCAAAGTCACAACCCAGAGTCAAGGTTTGAAAAAAGGTCCTATATTTTCCTTAAAACCTCAATCTCCCTAAAGACCATATTTTGTTATCTTCCCCTAAGAAAACTCCTGGGGGTATATGCATCCCCAATCCCAACTTCCTATTTAATCTAGCCCCTAATAATGCATATGTGTCACTAAACAAAAGGGCAGAGCTGTGGCCTCATCAGTCCTGCTCTCAGAATCTCTGGAGGGATTCTGAGGTGGGAAGGAGTGGAATGGAGGGATTGGTCAAGATTCCAGAAGGGAAAGAGAGGAGTGGTTCAAAGACCCCAAGTAATTGTAATTTTGGTTCAGCCTCATTAATAGTGATAAACAAGGCTGTGCTAAAGCCTCTAATTCAGTCATCTGCACTGTGGTGATGGCTCCTGACATGACTGCCCTGTGCCAGTTCTTCAGATGTTGTGCGTGGCTCTGTGGTGCCAGAGGAGTTGATAGAAAGAAAGTGCTGAGATGGGGAAAGAGAAGGAAGCCAGCAGAGAACGTGCCAGGTTGTGAGGAATTGATCCTGACCTGTGGGAGGGGGGTGGGTTTAGGAAACAAAGAATGGAGGAAGGGATGAAGTGAAGGCAGGGGTCATGCTTGTTATCAGATTTTGGCATCATTTTCTTTGTGTGTCAGGAGGTGCATATCAAAGGAGGAACCAAAAGGCACTGCCTTGCTTATGCAGCAAGTTGAAGTAATGGTGAAAAAACCCTAAAGTGATGAAAAGCACCTTCCTTAAATTGTGTATTCCTCTGCCAGTGTCTCTTTTCAGATGGCTGGAGGGATGGGTAGCACATGCTCTTTGCTTGACAGGTCTCAGACTTGTCACTCCCAAAGGAGCTCCTCAATTTAAACCCTCTCTGCAGCCCCAGGGTGAGACACAGGTCAGAGTTTCTGAAAGCCTCAGTTTCCCACCTCGGTAGTCCATGAGTTTGTTTGCTGTCTTAGGAAAAGCAGCATTTATAACTTTCTGTTGTGTTTTGCTCTGTCATTCTTGTCACAGCCACTGCCAAGAGCAAAAGGAAAAGAAAAAACAACCTTTCTTGAAGTGAGATGTTTGCAAGGATTGTTTCTATAATATTATATCGAATGCAATTCAGGTTGAAAAAGAAAGCATTTATGTAACTTCTTCAGAAATTTCATTCAGGAGTCTCAGACTGAATTGAAAATATCATTACAGAACAGCTTGCAATGCTTGGGAACTGCTGCTTATAAATATTAGACAACACTTTTACAGTTTACTGGAGGAAAAGACAGGCAGAATGTCTTACCAAATTCTAACTGGGTTACAAAGTACCATGTGCCTTTAGTCCCTTAAGGGACACTGTCACCTAATGAGACCTTGCTCTGCCCAGAATACACCCAGGACCTCACTCACCTGGGCCTTACTGGGCAGGGTTTTCTGCTGTCCTGGCTGTCAGGGACTGATCTGACAGCCCAGAGCAGAAACAGTGCAGACCCCAAGACTGTTGATTCTGTGGGTCAATAAACAACCCTGGCCCACGCTGTACCAGTGTCCCTCGCTGCTGGCACAGCAGAAAGCAAACAGCACCTCAAATGGTAATTGAGTGAATATAGAACAAAAGGTGTGCAAGGTGGGGTTTCCCTGAACTGCAAATGCCAGATTTGCAAGTCAAACTTTCAAAGTCAAGTTACTTAGATTAAAAAAAAAATAAAACCAGGCAATAACAGTGACAAAGACCCTGCAAGTACAATGCAGAGTACACAGGCAGCATTAATTCTGGCAGCTCCCAACTTTGGAACACTTCAACCTGACATTTGCAAACCAGCCATTTAAAGTACATTTGTTTGGTCAAAAATATGCAGTTTCTTCTAGCATTCGCTTTTCAAAGGATTAATTTTAATGGAAATTTTGTGATATTCTGGGCTTGTCCTTTTTCCTACAAGGGTGGCAGGATGTTGCCATCTGAATAAGCCTGGATGTCTAGACCCACAGTTCCTCTATTAATGCAGAGTTTCTGTAGGTTTCATTAGGTGAAGAAGCTCATAGAAAAGTGGAATGTTTAATATTTTTCTAAATTTAGACTGAATGTCCTCCACCATAATTATTTACTGTAGTCCTGCTGTGAGGGAATGGTCTGCTGGGATAAAGAACATTTCAGCTCTAGTGGGGGAAGAGTGTTAGCTCAGATTGGCTTTTCTTTATCCTTGAAGGTGAAAAATTTCAATCTTAAGTTAGGCATGAGGACAGTGGTGGAAAATCCTGTTTTCTCTGACTCCCTCTTCCCAACCATAGTTTCCTCAGACAGCTGCGTTGGAAGTTTTCTCAGTACAGTGTCTCCCACAACTTTTGTGCAGTCATTCAGGAGAAACTCTTCAGGAAATTCTCCTGCAGATAATTCGCTGGCTGCCAGGATCTCCTGCAAACAGGAGCAAGGGAGGCTGATTTTTAGCTGTTCATACCCCAGATAAATGAGTAAATGTTGTGAGTTAATGTAAAGGTGCTCCTTTAGTTTCAGAGCTTCCTTGTTTATTAGCTGAATTGAGTCTAAATGGTTTGTCTTTTTTTTCAGTCAGAATTTAATAACCTGCTTGTGAAATCAGAATATAAGACTGATCTACCTTGCATTTCTCTTCTGGGACAAATAAAACTTGCAGTTTCTTCTACAAATTTAACATCAGCAGAACTGTCATGTCTGTGTTTCAGACACAGATAGAGGGTCACATAATTAAGTTTCAGATTTGTTCTAGCTCTGGTTAGATGTTCACATCTGCCTTTTGTGTTTAGAGTCATATGCAATTTCAAAAGGGTGTTATGTACGTGACATAATTATGGTTTCCCATGCCTAATCATCACTAATTAATATAACCAGAAGGTTAACTACATAATTGAGATATTATTGCTCCCATGATCTGCTTTTTAATGCACAGGAACCAGACTGATATCATCAGGGAGATAATGATTTAACTCAGCTAAGGTCCCAACTATGTATTTTTAAATGCAGGTGTACCAATTACATCATTTTACATTGCAATTATTTTTGGCCAGTCCATGAAGTACTTCATTATATAGATTAGTGGAAATCTTATGACAAAAAAACCCACCTACAATATAATTATAGTGTAATTATGCTTTTTGTACTGTAAAATGTACGTGTTTCTTAGAAGGCTGAATCCACAGTGGATGTGAGAAATATTTCCTGTAATTTGTAAGGCCGGACAATGAAGTCCGTAAGATATTTGTGGGAGCAGCTGTTTGTGACTGACACTTTAGGGAACATTAATCTCACTGAGTGCCCTACCACACACTGCAGAATTGCTGCCACTCCTGCCAGTAACCACACTGCTGGTAGAGATGTGGTAAAGAGATACAAAAGCTTTAAGAACCAATGGGCTGCCCGTATCCAGCAGTAGCCCCATGCCTGTTTTATGAGCTCAAGATGGATGGCAGAGATTGTACTTTCAGTGCAGAATTCTGTTAAAATTTCCCATTATTCCTTCCCCAGAGTTGTTAAAATTGAAGGAGGAATCAAGGCAACAGCAGACAAGACTCGAGGCAGTTATTAGCATTTCAGATAGAAGCCATCTAACCTTTTTCAGATGGCAGTTGTTGAAATAATGACTGGTGATCATCTTTCAGTAAATTTGAGATGTCACAGTATTATATTAGCAGCAGAGTCATGGAAAATTGCAGAAAAAAAGTCCTAGTTCAGATGAGAAATTATTTTTTTCAAACCTCAGAAGACAAATGTGAGAGCCAAAGTACAGGCTGTCACTAGTTTACCTGAACATGAAGTATCACTGTATTCTAACCTTTGCTTCAAGCAATGGACTTTCTGATTACAAATGTGACAGAAACATTTCAAGAGTGACTCAGACTATGGGTTTGTCATTTTGATGCAGCAGTAAAGCAAATCCCATATGAATCTCATGTTGCACCATTACCTCCTATCT